CAAGGTAGATGTCATTGATCTTCGAAACTTGGTTACTTCCCTTGCCATTGAAGTCAATGACCTCCATCCAACAAGAACAAGACAAATTGAGGTTGACTCTGACCCAGAGATCGAAGCCCTATTCAAAGAAAGTCAGACCCCTGCTGATGCCAAAAAGGGGGAAAACACAACACAAGCAGGCACCTCTTCTACAAGGTCTCTGGCAGCCAAGAAAGCAGTCGAAACCAGGAAGAAGAACAAGCTCTACAAGGAAGAAGCAGAAATCAGAAGAAGAAAAGCAGAAGAGGCCAAAGCCAAGGAAGAAGCCAAGAAGAAACAAGAAGAAGACAAGCAAGAGTAGGATATATCTTAAAGTCTGAAACTGACTATAAATTATTGTACTCAAGAAATAGAACAATGTACAAAACTTCAAAGACAACCAATAAAAATGTTTGTTACTTGTGTTGTATAGTTTTGGCATCATCAAAAAGGGGGAAATTGTTAGTACCCAATTTTGATAAGATTTTGATGATGCCACTATACTGAACACGTGTACATTGTGTTTAATTTTGTTCTAGTATTTACGTGACAAATTAAATGTACAACTTTTGAGTCTAAGAAATATTACCGGAAAAGTAAAAATGCAATAAGGTAAATTTTCTTTACCTTAATAGGATATTTGAATCCTACCGGCAAATACTATTTGACTCAAAGATTATTCGTATGTCACATTTTTAGATAAAAGAAAGTAGAAGTATCAAGTGAATGATTGAGATACAAACATTGACCGGCATTTATTGCCAAATACGGACTGGGTCCGAAGTCATGGGACTGCAGTTTGAAGTGAAGGTCCAGCGGCTAAATAATACGAGACAAGGAGATGAGCCCGCATTAAAGCTCCAGCACAAGAAGACAAATGTACAATTTGTCCTTGCCAGAGTTTCAACGTCAGAGATTAATCCATCCTAACCAACGGGTGAGATTAATTCAAAGGAGATGCCTATAAATATAGGCTGAAACGAAAGTTTCTAACCAAGCGTTTTGAGCATCCAAAGAGAGAATTTCTATCACGAGCATTTACGAGATATCTAGCAAAAGAGAAAATGCTATTCCATACTTTACTCTCTGCTTGGACTCATGCTTCACTAAACTTCCAGTTTACAAAGCTTTTCATTGCTAAATCATAGAAGTTTAGTTCCTAGTTGGAGGTTAGAACTTTCTTGTAACAAATCACATATTGTTGTAAACACTTAGGAGAACAGTTGTTCGGATCCTACAATGTAAGTAGATAGATAGAGTACCTTTTGATCCCCACTGGTTCATTAGAGAAAAGTCTAAGGACTAAGTAACTTTGAGTGGTGCTATACTCATCGTGAAAAACCTTCAATCTAGGCCTAAGTGTTGTAAAGGCTAGATTGGCACTAAGTGTATTGGGCTTAATACTTTAGTGAAATCCATCTGAAAGAGGGTGGGACTGGACGTAGGAGGATTACACCACCTCTGAACCAGTATATATCGTGTGTTGAATTCATTTCAGTCAACAAAGCACACACCAAACACTTCTCACATAAAGATTGTAGTCTGACGGCAGAATCATAAGCAGTTGTCTTAATTGACCCAACTGCTTATCCTACTGCTTAATTACTCACTTTCTTTAAGACCGGATTCACACCTATAACGTGCACCAACAACATCTAAAAGGATCACTCTTTCAGTTCCCTGAAATTCATTTTCTAAGTACAGCAGGTGCCTCAGCAGTTCCCTGGAATCCACCCAACTGCTGAGCCCTCTGCTCACATATACTTGTTTCAAGTCACTGTCTCAAACATCACCAGATTGTCAAATACCTCATCAAGAAGTTTGCTTAACCCTACAAGCCTTTGACCCGAGCAGGTGCCTCAGCAGTTCCCTGCTCTTAGCCACCTGCTAAACCAACTGCTAGCATTCTAAACCAAACACTCTCCAAGTTAGAAAGTGGCTACAACACTCATTACTCAAAGGGTAAAGACTTCCGCTGTGCATCTATTAATCTCTCAAAAGATTATAGATCAACTCATCTAGAGGGAAAACTTTCAAAAGCCGAAAAAGATTTAAAAGTCTATTCACCCCCCCCCCCCCCCCCCCCCCCGTCTAGACTTTTACCCTATCCGGGACCAACAAATAGATCTTATGTCGGACCTTCTGGATCAAGATCGCGAGAGACAGGGGAGACGGGAGGAAGCAAATCTGAAATCACCCCTCCCATGCACAGCGAACAACAACAAAGAAGAAAGCATCAGCGAAAAAAAGATGAAGCTAGTCGATCGGCGCCGGCGTCGCTGGCTGTCACCGCCGCTTCTCGTTGGTGTCAAAGTGATGGTCAATGTCGTCTTCGTTAGAGGTCGCCGTCATCTACGCTTGAGGTCATCGTCGTCATCGACGTGTGTGCTGGTTGTTGCCTCTTGGTGGATGAAGAAGGAGAGAAGGTGTGGAGGAAGGAGAGGCGCACGTTGGAGTGAAGAGGAGCGCAGGTTGGACTAAAGAGATCGATGATGGATTGATGCGTGTGGAAGTGATTTAACTCACATTTTTGTCAAATTAAGATAAGGTCATATTTTTGTCTTTACAAACCTTGTAGCTAATAATTTTTACAAACCGATTATATGTTTATATAGAGAAAGTATTAATAATGTGAAAATGATATGAAAATATTTTTTGTTAAAAATACTATCATAAAAGTATAAAATTATTAAATTTTGCATAAATATATTAGTTTAAATAATTGGTCAAATTTTACCATGTTTGACTGGAAAAGTCAAAAATGGCTAAGTAAATTGGGACGGAGGGAGTATATTGTTTACTATTCTTTATTATTTTTTACGATTTTATTATGAATTTAGACATTTATTATGAATTAATACCCTTGGGGGTATTTACGGTGAAAATCAATGTTTAGTCCTATTTAAAGGGATAAAAAATAGTAGTCATTTTTGTGCTTTTTAGGTAAACGCGAGTCCTATTGATAATTTCTATTTGGGAAATCACAAACTATGGTCCGTCTCATGTTCCGATCAAGGGTTTGTACCCAATGAAGTATATTAGATAAAAAATGATGTCTGTACACACTCTTATACACACTTTTATACACACCTATGTTTGTGAAAGCTTTTTTATTGTCTGTGAACATCGATTCACAGACAATGTTTTGCACAAACAAAAAAAACTTCACAAACATGATGTATACAAGGTGTGTACAAGATGTGTGTATATAAGCATGGTTGATATTAGATTGAGCCAGCATAAAGAGTTTGTTTTTGAATTTTTTTAACACATTTTTATCCTATAATACTACGTATAAAGAGTTTATAATTAGCCTAACATGTCCTCCCTCCTAGGCTCCTAGCCCCTGGTTTCGATTGGTCTTTTGCAATACAATTGTCATGTCCCGGTATTTGAAAGATTGTTTCGCTATCTTCTTAGGGTTAATTTTACCGCAAAACTCACTTAAAATAAATGTTAACCCTTTTGTTTGAAGAGAAATACCTCGTTTACCCTGCCTTTAACTTTGTGTCCTTTTTGAAGAGAAACAACGGTTATCGTCATTGATTCATTTCTATTTGTTCCCGACAAAAATATTTCATATTTTATTTACATTTAAATTATTCAATTGGAATTTTGTGATTGGTCCACGCTTTTCAGATACATACCTTTAAGGTACCCTAAAAATTGCCTTTATTAATTGAGGGAATAGTCGCCATGGCAGTTTGCTTTATTATGGAAAACAAAGGCTCCCCCGCCAACGGACAATAGGGCTAGTAAATAAAATACAATACGGTGGGAAGAAGCTAACCGTTTTATGTTTTACCATCAACGAACTAACCCGTGCTTTTGACTTTTTCTATATTCATAGTTTGGTTAGTTTCTGAATTGTTTATTTACTCCGATCGTCTTTTCTAATTTCAACGGTCAACATTTCACATTTGACAACACACTTCTTTGATCGTAATTATATCTTAATTCTATTAGTAAAAAAAATTAAAATTCTGATTTTGAAAATTTGTAATAAGATGAATTGAATAATATTTTTTTTAAAATAATTTTATAAAATAATAGCGTAAAATGTAGTCAAGGTAAAGCATGTGAATAGTGTAAAATTCAACATGTTGCAATTAAAACGGAATAAATATGAGATGAGAGTATGAGACCACATTAAAAAAATTATGATGCTCTACAAACAAGCGAGAGTGCCAAATAATTTATAATGCATTTGATTGGATCAAACAATTATTTTATCTTTTTATACCGCTCCGTCTCTGAATTATCTTCCAAATTTACTTTTTTGCATGTACCAAAATAATCTTCCATTTCCTTATTTGGCAAAGAATTTGTTGTTCACATCAATTCTTACACATTTTTGCACATTACTTTTTTCTCTGCACAACTATCCACCACACAATACTCACTATGTTAATCTCAGTGTCCAATGCAATTTGAAAGTTAATTTAGAGACAGAGAGAATATTTAATATATTATTCAATTACGTAGTATATTATTTAAATCGGGATAAAGGTAAAATTGGACACTATGAATATTTGTGAATCGCATATTGGTCAATAAGGTTTCAAATGGATCAAATCTGACGCTATAGTTACTTGTGAATTAAAGATGAAGTGGCGTGTTGACAAAGTTAAACTTAACATTCCTCATTGGCCATTTGAAAAAGGTGACAACTCCGGTACCTTTCTAAAAAATAGGATACCGTACCTACCATTCATTTGATTGGACCACACCACTTTATCATTTTTAATTTAAATTTAAATAATTCAACAGCTACCTTTCTCATTGGTAGACAAAGGTATGGTACCTTATGAGTAGCATAGAATACACCTTTTAAAAATACGCAGTACTACGTAATTACGGAGTAATTAATTATTCTACGTTATTTGTTTGAAAATATGATGATTAAAGGAGGGCAGTTTGCAACTAAATAAAAAGCATATGCTTCATACTCCCTTATTTATAGGCAATTAGGCAGCAGAGGTATTCGGTCATCTGAAAAGCTCTTCTCATTCAATCACTGTGTGTGCGCTTGATCGGCCGAAGTTACACGATAATGACGGTCGCCATTATGGACAACGTGATGAGCGCGATTTCCGGCGGCGCCGAGAAGCGTCCCAAGACAAAAATTGTGTGCACTCTCGGCCCGGCTTCTCGATCAGTTCCGATGGTCGAGAAGCTTCTCCGGGCGGGAATGAACGTCGCCCGATTCAATTTCTCCCACGGATCTCACGAGTACCACCAGGAAACCCTCAATAATCTGCGCCAGGCTATGGAGAACACCGGTATCATCTGCGCTGTCATGCTCGACACCAAGGTACGTATGCCTAGCTTCTACGTATAGTATATACGCCGAAGATTGCATGGATCTGAAATTACTGTATAGATAATCGATGTTTGAGAATCCGGATCATATCTGATAATGGATGCCCTTTAGATGTCTCATGTTTGTCATAAATCCGGCGTTTTCCTCGTCAGGTTACCTTCACATTTGTTTGCTGTCATGTCAAAACATGAAGTGACTTCCGAGACTAATTTGAGTTTCTTGTTGGAATAAAGAAGGAACAAGTAGGGTCCAGTTTGAGTAAGATGGCTGGGTATCAAATAAACTTGAACAGTACGTTGATGATTCCTTTTCTGTTTATTTGTTTCGAGTGAATTACACAAAACTGGCTTCACCCATTGAGTCACACAAAACTTTGATACTACGGGGTATTTTGTATTTTGTTGGTTTTATGTGGCTTTTCAATATACTTCCTATTAAAGTATATTGAAAAGGAACTAGTACTTTGATACTACCGGTTCCTATTAAAGTTCTCACTTTCCTTTTTGGGATGTCCCTTATTTAAGTTCACACTTCCATTGTAGGAAACAAAACAGTTCCAAACAGTGTCCAAACAGTGTCCAAACAGTGCCAAATAGTGTCCAAACAGTGCCAAACAGTGCACTCCACAGTAAAGTCAAATTCATTTTCTTAATCTGTGTGAAGTCAAACTGAGACCTTTAATAGGAACCGGAGGGAGTAATACTTTTGTTCTTGGGATTAAAGAAGGTATCCATCATCAATAGTAGCACCTTATAGTCCCATCAAGTCGGGGTCAGTGGCATAAAATATACTCCCTTAGTTCTTTCTTACGGAGTAATTCTTAATTCTTCCCAGTAATTGTTTAGTGTTCCTTTTGTATACGTATTTTTTATTACTTGTCCTTTTCAAATGAAAGCATCTTATACCCTCACTTTTATAATTCATATTTTTTTTACTTTTATAAAATATTTTCTTTTTCTTACCTTTTCATTATTTTCCTCTTTTTACTATACTCTCTTTTCTACTTCTTTTTCATTTATCCAACACTTTCTATATTACCCTACTATTTTCTTCTTGAAAATGGTGGAAAACCTAAGAGAATAGTAAATATAGAAAGGAAGGAGTACTTCATACTGCACAATGGAAAAACTAAGATTACAATTTATACTGAGGAGAGAGGGAAAATGTGAGCCACAAAGGTCTTCCCTTCAATGGAAAAAGGGCATTACTTGGAGACGGACGAAAAGGAATGAAGACTTTTTTGGGGTGGACTGTGGAGGGATCATAGTTTTGTGCAAAGTATCAAATGCCATATTTTCCTTCGGGAATCCCTTTATGTCTAAACCTTTTTCAGAATGTACAATGAGATAAAAGTTCAAAATCACCATAAGTTATCACTTCTTTTCACTGCTCATAATAAAGATGTATTTTTACAATTGCAGTTGATCTTGATGCTATGTAATACAGAGTACATTACTATATCATATCATACATCTTCCATTTCATTCAAAACTATTCTGCTTGAAAATCCATATAAGCTGATTGTGTTGGGCTATAGACATCTCTACATAGTAGATTTAGTCAGAGTGATTAGGGGCCTGAATGTTTCTAGTTGGTGATGAAGATTTATGCCTTTGATTTCTGCAGGGTCCAGAAATCCGAACAGGTTTTTTGAAAGAGGGAAAGCCTATTCAACTCAAACAAGGTCAAGAAATAACTATCTCCACTGATTACAGCATCAAGGGTGATGAGAACACGATCTGCATGAGCTACAAAAAGTTGGCTGAGGATGTTCAGCCACAAAGTGTTATACTTTGTTCCGATGGCACCATCTCCTTTACTGTCTTGTCATGTGACAAAGAGAAGGGTTTGGTGCGTTGCCGATGTGAGAACACTGCTGTTCTTGGTGAGAGAAAGAATGTCAATCTCCCTGGGGTTATTGTTGATCTTCCAACACTGACTGATAAAGACAAGGATGATATCTTGAAGTGGGGGATCCCTAATCATATTGATATGATTGCATTGTCCTTCGTTCGCAAGGGTTCAGATTTGGTGGAGGTCCGAAAGTTGCTAGGGGAAAATGCAAAGACCATACTCCTTATGTCAAAGGTTTGCTTCAGTGTTGTCTTCTGCTGATTTTCTCAATTATCAATATGGCATTTTATAGTAGTTGATGTGCTTTTGTATTGTTGGAAGATAATGATGTTTTAAACAACCATAATATTAGTACTAACTCCATCCCAAAAAGAGACCGATGTTTATGTACTCGTATTAGTTTAACTGAATTTATCATATGTAATTAGTCTAACTGAATCTCTCTTATGTCAAATTACTTGATAAATTTGCGTCATAGGCTGTCTTGGAAGAAAGAGTTTGTTATGGATGGATGGAGTACGAAACTAGTCACCGGCTATGACCTTAATTTATCCTTTTGTTTGAATTCTTCACAAAGAAAACCAAAATTAAAAAACTATGGCAGTATTTGAAATTAACTAGCCAATGTTGCATTTTATAATTTTTCGTTCTAGGTTGAAAACCAAGAAGGCGTGGCAAATTTTGATGATATCCTAGCAAACTCAGATGCATTTATGGTGGCAAGAGGTGATCTTGGAATGGAAATTCCAATCGAGAAGATTTTTTTAGCTCAGAAGGTAATGGTGTACAAGTGCAACATTCATGGGAAACCAGTTGTGACAGCCACACAAATGCTGGAATCAATGATTAAGTCACCCAGGCCAACTCGTGCAGAAGCGACGGATGTTGCAAATGCCGTTCTAGATGGGACAGACTGTGTCATGCTCAGTGGCGAAACAGCTGCCGGAGCCTATCCAGAGCTTGCAGTGAGGACCATGGCCAAAATCTGCATAGAGGCAGAAAGCACAATCGATTATGGAGACATATTCAAAATGGTAGCTTTAAATGCACCGGTTCCAATGAGCCCACTGGAAAGCCTTGCATCATCCGCTGTCCGAATGGCAAACTCTGCAAAAGCAGCCCTTATACTCGTCCTGACCAGAGGAGGGAGCACTGCAAAACTGGTGGCCAAATACAGGCCAGGAATGCCTATTCTGTCTGTAGTTGTGCCTCAGGTAAAGACAGACTCGTTTGACTGGTCATGCAGTGACGAGTCACCAGCAAGACATAGCCTCATCTTCAGGGGACTGGTTCCTGTTCTTTGTGCTGGATCCACAAGGGCATCTGATGAGGAGTCAACTGAAGAAGCCCTTGAGTTCGCACTTGGGCATGCTAAGGACAAAGAGCTTTGCAAGGAAGGCGATGCTGTTGTGGCCCTTCATCGTATTGGAACTTCTTCTGTGATTAAGATTATCAACGTTAAGTGAATCATTAAGGAGGGAGGGAAGGGGGTGAGATACACGTTCTCTTATCTATTTTTGCTGCTTCGGGTTGGTCAGTTTTGCCTTGCCGTGCTCTTTTTTTCTACATGCAACTACCCAGCAGTTTTTCTCTAGTTGGGGGTGTTAATCTTTTTAAATAACTATTGAAAACAAAGAGAGTTACTCTTACATTCTTTTTTGAAGAATTACTCTTACATCTATTAATAACATAGTTAACTCTATTTTAAGATGCGCAGATTGTTTTCTCTTAATCTGAGCTTGAATTAGATTATTGCAATTGATCTTCTTGTTTTTGTGTGCAGATATCCTCATGTATACTGATTGTATAATGATATTAATAATAATAATGTACATATCAAACTATCAAAGCAGGGCCGAGAAATTTCTAACTGAGGCTTTGTACCGTTACTATTAATCGTACATTGTGTTTTGTTGTTGCAAACAATAGATTATATTAACTGGTGCAGTAAAATATGTCACGAAGTGTACCTTGAGTCTTCATTACAATACGAAAGTAAGACCATAACACTAATAGTGTGAATGAATTCGAAATGTGGCACATCACTACCGGAAAACCCGCGTACAGGGGCGGACCGTAGTACAGACTCAGGGGGTTACCGCCCCCCAACAAGAATTTTTTTTAGTGTATATATATATGAAAAATAATTTTCTCCCTCCTAAAAATTATTTTGAACCCCACAAAAAATATTTTCGCCCCCAAGATGACTTTCCTGGGTCCGCCCCTGCCCGCGTAGCATGTCGAATGCAGTTGCCACTTGCCTGACCTGCACCTATAATGCGAAAGCCATAAAGAGAAGATTGCTTCGCCTGCAATTGAAAATGTTTCACACATGTCATTAACAAAAAGCCATGTCACTTTTTAATCACTTTTTCATATAGTCATGTTAAATCAACTCAAAACACTTTGTATACTAAGTAGTAATAGTTTATTAGTTCATATTTTACCAGTGTGCGGGGACATAGCAAGGGGATCAGCCTTGGCCACGGTCCACCCCAAATTTTAAAAATCTTCATAACCTTGTAAAAAAAATCCATAAATATTTTTTGTGTCAGCCCAGTCCGATCCAGTGCCCTGACTTCATCCTTGCCGGTGTGAGAAATACTTTAATACCTCTCATGACCACACATGCCCTTCATCTGAATCGTGTCGGTCTGGATTCGTCACGATCTTTTTTATAATCATCGTCATTTTTAATTGAGGAATCACGCCATGGTTATGGATCATACAATGTTATAAATCGAAATCTTAATAAAAATAAGTTTTGTGTGTTTTGCATATGTGGACGTTCACAATATATAATGCACTTTCATTGTGCTTTGCTTCTCATATTTTGCCTTCTTACTTATTACTTAACTTATCCGATATTAATTTTTTATAACTTCAAAGTGATATAGAAAGAGCTGATGTTTTTCAAAAGATACGAATCAAATACTCTCTCCGTCCCTCAAAAAGTGGACATACTTTATAACACTCCCTTTTTTTCTAAATCGGTTGGGGTGAAGTACGAAGTGACTTGACTTCAAGGAGAGGGTTACTGCACGAAAACCAATGAAATAATATGGGGTTCTTTAATTTAGTTACAAATTTATAACTATTTCATGTAAAAATTGCATCAATATAATACGTAGTATAAATAACTAAATATCGAGTACTATGTATATTTTTTCAACGACCCTCATAATCCTAGAGAAGGCCTGAAAGGAGAGACCTAGGGATGGACTCGGGCCGGGTGGCCCGACCCGGAACCAGCCCGGGACCGGTACTGTTCCGGCCTGGCCTGACCCGGTGGCCCGGTCAGTGACCGGTCCGGGTAGGCCCGGCCCGTGGGTTTTCCGGTCCGGGCTCGGGTCACCCAACACAAGGCCCGACCCGGCCGGGCCGGGCCCGACCCGGCCGGGCCGGGCCCGAGCCCGGTTCGGGCCAAAAACTATTTTTTTTTTTCAATTTTTTTTCAATTTTCGGGTTGGGCTGGGTATTTTGGGCCATTTGGGGTGGTTTGGGGGGTTGGGGGTGGGAGGGGGGTTAATTAGGAAGAGGAAAAAAAAAAAAAATATAATGGGCCCGGCCCGGCCCGGACCCGGTGGTTACCCGGGCCGGTCCCGGGTCCACCATTTCTGAACCGCCGGCCCGCCCGGGCCTAGGCCCGACCCGGACCCGGGACTCGGGTCCAGGCATTGGTGACATCGGTGACATACATTGCATAATTGTTTATTGATTAAAATATATGTAACATTCCTCTTAAATCTTAATGACATGTATTTAATTATCACAAACACTAGATAGGATGTAATTAATATCTATGTGTAACATTCCGCTATTGATGACGTAATTAATACTACCCTACATTTATTATTACTTGCAATGATTTTGTTTTTCAAATTTCAAGTCCGGCCATTAATACAGTGAATCATGTATTTGCTAAACTTTAAAAAATGATGTTTTAAAAATATACTATGAGAAAATAAGAATGTTGAAAATTGATTTTACACTCATAGGAAATAGAACAAAACTAGATGGGTAAATAATTTAAGGGAAAATCACATTTTTAGTCTCCGAAATAGTCACCCTATTGAAATGTCATACCCGTATTTCTGAGATAGTAAATGTCACCCCTCAATTGTCCAACTTGTTGTAAGTGTGGTCATTTGAAGGGTGAAATGTACTCCTCGCTCACATTGTACATTTCACCCCTTCAAGGACAACATTTACATCAATTTGGACAAATGAGAGGTAACATCTACAATCTGGGGAACACAGGTCTGACATTTCTATATGATGACTATTTCAAGGACTAAAAGTCTGATTTTCTCATAATTTAATAATCAGGATGTTGCAAAATATCGGGAAAGTCACTATTAAGTCTGAAAATGTACAAATACTTTCACACTGAAATACATGTAAATAATGTAATAAACATTTTACTAATTTCCTCTCTTTCACAATTCGAGATCCTCGAGCTTAGAGTACGTGATTGGGGGTATTATGTTGGATGAATGATTAAAAAAACCAACATTATACGGAGTATGTGCAGTGAATTCAGTTTACTTGAAAAAGTCTTGATTGATTTATGATGAGAAAAAAAAGGATGAAAGTTACTGACAGCAAAATTAAAAGACAAGAGGACAAGAGGAAGAAATGCTGAACCACAGAAAATGGGAGGTGGAAGTTATGGACGGATGGAAGAAGGAAAAGCCATGCAAGATATAAAAGGATCATTCATTCGTGAAGAAGAAATAAACAGCAGAAACAAAAAAAATATCACACCCCCTCCAAAAAAAAAGCCCAAATAAAGGGAATAAACAACTTTATTAATAATGGTGGAAACCAGGAGGAAATTATCATGGACGGAGGCGGTGCTCCTGCTATGTCTCTCTGCATGGACGGTGGCGGTGGTTCAGGCAGAGGACCCCTACCTGTTCTTCGACTGGAAGGTGACGTACGGCAAGATGTCCCCTTTCGGTGTCCAAAAGGACGTCATCCTAATCAACGGTCAACCCATTGGCCCGAAGATCAACTGTACATCGAACAACAACATTGTCGTCAACGTTTTTAATGAGCTTGACGAGCCATTGTTGTTCCACTGGTCGGGCATCCAACAGAGGAAGAACTCCTGGCAAGACGGGACTCCGGGAACCATGTGCCCCATCATGCCCGGAACCAACTACACCTACCGTTTCCAGGTGAAGGATCAGATCGGAAGCTACTTCTACTTCCCCACCACCGGCCTTCTACGCTCCGCCGGAGGCTATGGTGCTCTCAACGTCCACAGCCGTAACCTCATCCCTGTCCCGTTCGACTGGCCCGCTGAAGAATACAATGTCTTCTTGAGTGACTGGTACAATAAGGGTCACAGGGAGCTGAAGAAGATTCTTGATGACGGTCAGACCATTGCCAGGCCTAATGGGTTGGTGATCAATGCCAAGCACGGGAAAGTCGGGGACAAGCTGGAGCCGATTGCGACGATGGAGGCCGGAAAGACGTACAGGTTCAGGGTGTGCAATGTAGGGATGAGAGCCTCCATGAACTTCAGGTTCCAAGGACACGGGATGACGTTGGTGGAGTTGGAGGGGTCCCACACAGTGCAGAACGTGTATGATTCGCTTGACCTCCACACCGGACAGTGCCTCTCCGTTTTGGTGACAGCTGATCAGGAGCCCAAGGACTACTACTTTGTCGTCACCAGCAGGTTCCTTAAGCAACAGCTCTCCTCCGTCGCTGTCGTCAGCTACGCTAACGGCAAAGGTGTCCCCGCCTCCCCCGAGTTGCCACCTCCTCCTCCAGAGGACACCGAGGGCATCGCTTGGTCCATTAACCAGTTCAGATCATTCAGGTACGTACGGGTTAACAGGCAAGGAATCTCTCAAAATATGAGTAAAATATAGACAAAGTTTACAAACATGACTGACTTATGTTCATTTCTGTTTGATTTCAAGGTGGAACCTCACTGCTAGCGCAGCTAGACCGAACCCACAGGGATCCTATCACTATGGCCAGATCAACATCACCCGAACCTTGAAGCTTGTTAACACTAAGAGCGAGGATGGAGGAAAGCTCCGGTTTGCGATCAATGGAATCTCCCACAAGGATGGGGATACCCCGTTGAAGCTGGCGGAGTACTTTGAGAATCCAGAGTCCGTGTTCAAGTACGACATAATGAGCGATGACCCACCAGAGGATCTGAGCAAGGTGACTGTGGCTCCCAATGTGGTCAATGCCACATTCCGCAACTTCGTGGAGATCATATTCGAGAACCACGAAAGGACCATCCAGACCTACCACGTGAACGGGTACTCATTCTTCGCTGTGGGGATTGAGCCCGGGAAGTGGACCCCCGAGAAGCGGAAGAATTACAATCTTGTGGACGGGGTGAGCAGGCACACCATCCAAGTGTACCCCAACTCATGGGCCGCCATCATGACCACCCTCGACAATGCCGGAATGTGGAACGTCAGGTCAGAGATGTGGGAGAGATTTTACTTGGGACAACAGCTATACTTTAGTGTCTTGTCACCGGCACGCTCCTTGAGAGATGAGTATAACATTCCCGACACCCAGCTACTTTGTGGCTCAGTGAAGGGCAAGCCCATGCCAAAACCTTACTCTATCTAAATTGTTGTTATTATACGTAGTAATTGTGAAATCTTTTAAATTCTTGGATTAATGAAAATAACAATACTGTATGGTATTGAACAGTATGTAGTAGGAGAGTAACAGGGGTTAGGAACAAAGGAATTTAATTTGCTTCAGTTCCTTGTTTAGGTCCAAACGAGATGTATCATAAACCCCTTTTACCTCATGACCAATATGTTTTTATATAATAAAAGAGTGTAGGGCGGAAAAGATGGAATACTTTGTTGTATATTGTATATCTCCATTTTTGTCTAATTGTTAGTGTATTTTGTATCATGGAACTTTTACTTTTCTTTCATTCCTATTAGCACTTCTAGTTTGCTTTGCATGTTCAATTTGTCCTGTTTTTTTGTTGCTTTTTTCAATGCTTTTATTCAAATTAAAGAATAGCTAGAATGTTAAGAAAAAACCTGCGCCCATTTCTCTACAGCTGCACCAGGTATAACTGACTAGCACCCCCATTCCAACAGATAGAAGAAAGCAGTCCACAATGGCACAATGGTTGGCCCTTTTTGACATTGTTCTTTGGCAAATTAAAACAACTCTGATCAAAATTAGATCTGTTTTTTATTCAAGTACAAAAAGTGATAAAGTCAATACATATGAGCGAAACCATTTTAGTAAAAGCAACTAATATATTTCTCCAAAAAGGTTTCACTAGCAAAATATAGTATAAGCTAACTAAAGCCTGAGCAGATTTTTATGAACTTTGGTCACAACCCGGCACGTCAAAGAGAGTCTGGTATTAGTCCGGTGAATAACAATGTCATCCGTTTCTCCCTCTTTATCAACTACTTGCCCAGAGTTACATAATGAACCAAACAAGCCGTTATCTATCGTGTTTCTTGTCACATTCACAGCCTGGAGAGATCAAAATTTAATAATAAATTTATCAGAAGATCCCTGCTTTTCGTCAAAATTCAAGCAACAAACCATAATTCTTTTTTACTTTCCTCTTTTCAATGTTTTCGTAACATAGAGCATTTGCTTGTAAAAAGCCTTACCCCGTTACACTGTTGTACATCATCATCTTTAATACTGTGCAGGTATTCTGGAAAAAACATAAATTAAGTAGAGAGGCACGAGTGTGATCCTATAATGTATTGCTCAATTAAAGAACAGTATGCGAAGTTGCTAACTATAAAGTGCATGTGAATAATGAATCACCTGAATAAGCCTTGTCCTTGAAAATGAGTAAACTGCGAGGCATCAGCAAAATGGAAAAGGAACAGCGATCATCTTCGCTTCTTTTACTGACATTAATCTCTGTGGTCTCACCTTCACAGATTTTATTATCAACGCTGTTTGTAGATGACTCTATGTTGCGTTTAAGATTTGGATGTGGGTCAAAATCCATCAGAACAGGTGATCGGAGAGAAAGAATTGCCACTACTGGATAATAAGCAGGTCCATCCTGGTGTGGCTGAGAAGATGCAAATTGCAATGTCAAAAAACAAACAAATAGAACATATTACTCTAATCCTGGTGTGACATTCTTTTAGTCAACTAAGAACATAAAAAAGAAATTATGAAATGGATATAAAAAGATTTGAATAGCATGGATTCAGATTTTCTGTCTAAAATAACCATTACAATAGATCCATTCATAAAAGACACTCCATTATTCCTATTTGTTACATTCACTTTCTCTTTTTGTCTGCCCCAAAACGGTGAACAATTTCCAAAATTGAACTCCAATAACTTTTTATTTTCCCACTATATATTTTCTATCATTTTAACATTTTAATGTTTAACTTTTTTGCAGACTCATTGCTTTTCTTCCTTTTAGAAGACTACAATGATCAAATAACAACTATCTCCTTTGTTTCCTTAAATCCGTGCAAGATACAAATGTATCGTATGGTTTGGGACGGAGGGATTAGTAAAAAGTAAATGAACCAAAAATTGGATAAGGATTCAAACCATTATTCCTTGGTTAGGAAGGTACTCATTGATAAGAACATGATTAATTGCTGAAGGAAAAAGTCCCGATTCCTCTTGGATCCTCTGAGTAATTCTAGTTAACCATGAAGGCACTGCAAGGAAGAATCCAATAAACATTTCATTTGTGTCACATCTTAGTGATGATGACATATTGACATTGTGCGTGTAAAAAAGTTGAAACCCACAATCTTAGGAATCAAAGCTAAACTATTTATCAAAATTTATATCGAGAGAAAAGAACTAGAGGAGGAACTCTCTACACCAAACCACCTAGGTGTAGATCTAGTATTTGTAAGCCTTTAGACATGGAGCTCAAAAATCAGCAAAATAAAAGCCCTTGGACGTCTACCAGCAATAAAGTGTGCTACCTCACTAAACACGAAATATAGATATATGCCTATCATGTTATTCCTCTTCTTTTATCTAGACTAGAGAGGAGATCTCCTTTCCTTTTAATTTTTGAATATACGCATGTACTTATAGAACCCTAGTCCGCTAGCCCCTATCATGCTACTAGAAATTCCCAAAGGCATTCACAAACCTAACTTGTAAACTACACTATAAAGTGTAAACTATGTTTGTTGAGATTCGAACCAACTGCTATCACCCTCTACTTGGCTTTTAACTTAGAGATTATATAATCTCTGGTTACTTCTCTAGCTAACTATTCCCTGAACTTCATTCAATTAATACGTACTTTAAAACTGTACATCACCCTTCTCAAGAGCTATCATGATGGATGGATTATAATTGACCTAAAAGTCTAAAACGAAAGGGCTAAAAGTTAGGGTTGTATATTCCTACAAGTCCATAGCTCTATATTTCTAATTTCGTATATTTTGTATTCATGTATTTCACATAAAAGGAAGCTGTTTCTAATAGGAGAGTTCATGTTTCAGTATGTTTATTTACTGAACTACTGCAGGCCTTAGAGATTGCAGTAATCTATTAACATTAAAATTTCTCAAGGAAACAAGGAGAAACTTATATATGTTTGGTGGCCACTGCTGATTCCATGTCTACAGTTCAAATATAAAGCTCTGCTAGAACAGCATAGATATCCATGCACGTTTTGAAAATGAATTAAATCATGAAATAGATGAATCTCATAGAAACAGAAGAAAGGAATAAAAAGACAAGACGTACAGTCTTGTGCTATAAGACCCTTCTCGTGTACAACACCTCCTGCAATGACCATATAGCTGTTACACTGCAACTGTTCAACATTTCTTCCAAACTTACCCATACATATAAAATGGATAGAAAGAGAAAGGAATGAAGAAAACTCCATATATACCCCAATTTTGCAGCCTCCTGTTTTTTAAAGATTTCCATTTGGAAACAGGAGCTCCATAAATCTAGAAAGAAAAGAGAGAAATTTGCATTCTAAAAAATCAAAATTACTATTACATTATTATTCATTTTAAAAGAAGAGGCCAAATAGCATGATTAGGGAAGGCATTACATTCTTGACAAGCTGCTCTTCTTCAATGTCTGCGATGAAATTTGGAATGTAGATTAGGGTTGGCACAGACCCAACTATGAAGTGTTCCAGACTCCCTGTTTCTTGAATTGTTTCCATACTTCCACTCACTTTTGAAGAATCACTAAGCTCTATTTTTGAGCTGATCTTTCTTTTCAGGAACAACAGAAGTACAGGAAAATTATTAAAATGAAGAGTGAGGCATGGGGCAGCCATTGGTTCAGGTGGTAATCCGTAATCGTAAATATTTAACCCCAATAAATTAAATATAGTTTTCATTGGGGTAAGTTATTGTAAATATGTATTGTTACCCCCCTTTCCCTAACCTATTATATAACCTGTTTCCTTTTCCTATAACTGACTCTACTCAGATATGGTTCATTCGAGACGTTTGATTACAAAAAGTATCAAACTATAGCAAACTATGAAAACTATCCCCTTAATAAAGAAGATGCGAAATAGATGTAGAGTAAAAAGAGATCCTAAATGTTGTATAAAGCTTCATTTCACTGCAGCATTTGATTTTTTTTTTTATCAATTAATTGTTTGGGTTCATCGTTGGCAACTTTCTGCTCTAGGTTGATGCTGTAAATAATAATAGAACAAAAGAAACAACCTCAGTCAGTGGCAACGAAACGGATTAGAGTGGCCGAGAGGTATGGCGGTAAATTTTGCAAGTGGCGGGAGACTGTAATAGTAGAAGCTTTAGAAGCCAAGTGGTTGCAGGCTTGCAGCGGCGGTGGTACGTAAGGGAGAGCAAATCAGACCCTACCCTATCTCAAATTTTTGTTTGGATCGGAAAACCCGACCCGAAATACCCCGATCTGAACCGATTCTTGCAGTCCGTGACTTAAGCGGGTAGGGTTATAAATTAGGTTACACGACCTGCCCGACTACCCGAACTAGCGTAGCATATACACGTATACTATTTTGAATTATTATGCATGTTCAAATATCTCAATTATTGTATGCCAATTACAATATTATGCATGTCCAAATATTCCAATTACTGTATTTGTACAACTATAACTTCAAGGAAAATTACCCAAAATAGGAGCAACTGACATTTGGAATTCCAAAAACATGACTAGTATGTTTTTCTTCCCGAAATACGTAGTAGGAGTTATTACTGTCATGTATGAAAAATACTGCCATGATTTATAAATATTGTCATTAATTATAATAAATATTGTCATGTTAAATGCACTGTACCGCAATTACTTGGCAGTCACGGCTACAAGATGACAGTAAATACTACCATGTTAGTCCCATTTCGGGATTAAAAACAAAGTAGTCCTATTTTGAAATTTCAAACTTCATTTACTCCTATTTTGGGAAATCTCCCTAACTTTAAATGTTGTATTGTTATAACTTTGAATGATATTTTGACCAATTATCATTTTATTTATCATAATATCAAATACGCCAATTATCGTATATTATTATTTTAGATGTTCAAATATGTTGATTACCGTAGTTATACAACTATTACTTTGAATGTTATACTAGTATAATTTTGAATGATATTTTTACCAATTACCATTTTATTTATCAAAATTTCAACAATAATGATAAATTAAAATCTGAAAGGACCCGAAAACCGAATCAACCCGACCGCAACCCGGTCTTCTTCAACCCGAAAAACCCGATAATTTTTCTGATAGGGTAGGGTTTGAAATTATCAATCCAATAACCGAACGGGTTTACAAATTTTGAACTCGACCCGCCCGAACCTGACCCGTGCTCTGCCCTAGTGGTATGTTATTGAAGGAGGGCCGAGTCGGGTCGGGCCTTCCATTTAAACCTTTTTTTTTAATTATAGCTGTTAGGCCCAGCCTCGGCC